TTTTTTTTTTTTTTTTTTTTTTTTTTTTTTTTTTCTGCAGAAGAACCCAACCGGTCACAATATTCAAATTTAAAATATCAAATTGTCCGTTTGAAGTAGGAAAACACTTAGATACGTATCACTACCAACTTTTTGACCAAGAAAAAGGCCAAAAATTTTTGCTTTTTTTTTACGACTTCAAAACTAACGAAATTATTACTAAAGTAGAAAAAGGAATGCAATAATTGGTAACAGATAAAAAAGTCAGAATAATAACCCCCCCTCAAAAAAAAAAAAAAACAAAAATGCAGCGTAAGCGGTCAAGTGATTAACTCAAAATATATTCAACAAAAATGCTTCATGAAACTTCGACATCGGTGTATACCATAATAAACTGAAACTCCAAAAAACGGTGATTCCGCAGAAACAACCAGTAAGGAAGAGCAGTAGCTGATCGGTTTGGCTTAAATGCTCCAGCATCTTCATGCCGCCCCTTCCATGTTTCTGCAACTGGACTACCCGAGTTTTGGCTAAGTAAAAATAAAAAATGTTGCTCAGTAAACAGGATGACGTCATTTGTTATTGTTTTCACTGCGTGCAACCTTTGTAAACAACAACAACAACAACAACAACGATGGCATCAGAGGTGACGACACTGTATGTTCGCAACGTCGCCAATGAAAACAATCATAGATCGTTGATCAGTCGTCGTCGGAGTCTCTGCAAATGCAGCAGCCACTCGGCTGTCTGGCCGTCGGCATCCCGTTGTTTTCACGGATGCCAAAGAGCCGCTTTTTGCTAAGTCTCTAATTTAAACAAACTGCAAATTTTAAATGCAGACAGGCCTTTTCAATGATTTTCATCCCATAGGTTTCGAAATAAAGAAATGATCCAATTCACCTCAACTCATTTAATAATTTTACTGAATTTGTTCGAAAAAAAATCCTTTTTTTGGATTACTGAGGAAAAATTATTCGGTGTACTATTTCTGTTTGGCCGCTGTATTATCAATTTGAAATTTAGAGGAAAAAAAAAAGAAACTACATCCTGACTGACTGTTCAGTTCTGTTTCGAGGTTAGCCACAAATCAAAAAGACTCCGAAAACAGTTCCATAAACATGGTAAAGTTAACAAATTACTGGTTAAAATGGAAAAAATTATTGCTAAAAGACAGCAGTGATATTACTGTAATAAAGACGTTTAAAATTACCGTCAATATTAGCAAATTTGAACGATATTTTGAGAAGAAATGCAGCATTTTTTGGACCTTTCTAAAGCAACAATTGCTTGATGACTGTTGTCGACTTTCAGTGTTTCAAAACCAATAAAACAATTGTATCTTGTAATGTCGACTTTGAAGATTTGGTTGATGCTCAGCCGCCTTGTTCCCATACTGACCTCTAAACGATAATTTTTTCTTTTTCTCCAAATTTTTTAATGTGGAAAAAAATTTGTTTTCTCATAATAAAAACAAAGTTTATCTTTGTTGACTTTCAGAAATCACTTAAACTATTGATTTCTATATGGGAAGTTTGAGTGAACACTGATGCAAATTTGTTGGTTGATAAAAATGGGTACGAGCTACTTTGTAAGTTCTTTATAAACGGAGCAAAAGTTTGCAAAACAAAAGAAAAACTCAACAAATTAAAAAATTTCCGGAAGTCGTCAGCTTTTTTGCGGCTCTATAAGCTTATGCCTGAATTTAGGCAACCAAACTATCGCAAGAACCTATGGCGCCTCAGCTTTTACATCCGTTACTTCTAAATTCTTAACATTCATCCATCAGAACGGCATTTCCGATAACCGCAAAGTTTTAGAGTACTATTCATAACGATAACATAGTAAAAATAATGGTGAGATTAACTAAGCCAATAATAGAAATAACCGTTACAATGACAACATAACAGTAATGGTAGCAATAATGATGACAATGGTGATTTTGTCGGAGAAGACAACCAATATTAAACTGCACTGGAGACAACACCACTTTCTGCTAGCTTCCATAATATCTAAAGAAATTTGAAAGTAGATGTTCAATAAAGAAAGGTCAAAAAAAAAAAGAATTGTGCTTTTGTGCTTGTAACGTGCGGTAAGGAGTTTTCCTCTCGGTGTACCGTAAAATATTTCCTTGAAAATTTTCGTGGTAGGGATGGTCATTTAGAAGATGACCAGGTCGAGAACATGCTTCTGCTTTAAGCGAAAAAACTATGGAAGAGTTAATAGAGAAGTGATCACTGTCTGCAGGCGATTTGATATGGAAGTTATAGGAATCCCATTTCACAGTGAAAAGAAGAACCAAGTCAGAGAATATGACAGAACCTAATTGAAAGCCAAGAAATGGCAAGGTATGAGATCTGCTCAAATTTGTTGAAATGTCGCAAACTGATTCCATTTTTAGATCGTACAAAATTTATGGTAAATGAAAAGATATAGTAACCAAGAAAAGCCGGCTGTATGGTATAACAAAACACCTTCGAAAACCGGACCCCCATCCAGAAAAGGTCAAACTAGCCATCTGCATGCGTGTTGTTGTTGTTTATCGAGAAGTCATTGAAATTTGAAAATAAACTAGTGGAGCAATTCAATGTCAGCGAGTTGAGGCAGTCGTGGTGAAGCTGAAGAAATGTCTCTTTGACAGCTAAATTAAAAATGTGGAAGACTTGGGCCTTCAAGGTGGCTTTTGCCTCGACAGTAGTGCTTCTGTACAGACGGATCGTAACTTCCTTTCTTTTGAACTTTACTCATTCATCAGACTTCACTGCTATGTAACAAATTTTTTTTCTAGTATTTCATACTTTTTTAATAAGTTCTGTTTCACTTTAATCCGGTTTTGGATAAAAACGTCTTGCAAAAATTTTAAATTTTTGGTATTCAACTTGAAAGCCGTAATTTCTTTCCAACTCTTAATACGATTTATGATTCACTGCAGACGATATGGAACCACAGAAAAACCGTGATCATTTCTCTTGACGCCCATTTTAACCATCTAAGTTTACAATACATTCAGATAAGACGAACTGTTAAATTTTGGTAATAAAACGATTTATTTTCAAATAATCATTCATTGCGCTTGAACACCACTTATCAAGTTGTAGTACACCGTTTAGTGACGTTATTTAGCCGGTTAGTGGGCA